CCAGCGCGAAGAATGGAAAGGAGCGTGCAGCAAGGAAATGGACAATCTGCGGAAACACAACGTCTACAATCTGGTGCCCCTCAGCAGTGTTCCCAAGGGAGAGAAGATCCTCGGAAAGAAATTCGTCTACAAGAGAGGACAGTTTCAGGTAGCGGCGTTTACGGATTCATCCTTCGGAGCAAACCCCGACAACGGAAGATCTACCACGGGATATCTCCTCTTTCTGGCTGAAGGACTCGTCAGCTACGGTGCGAAGACTCAAACTCTAACCGCGCAAAGCACGGTCGAAGCCGAGATTCAAGCACTTACCTACTCAGTCAGAGAGGCGGTCTACATCTGAAATTTATGACGGAACTCAACTCCAAGACCTTCGGATCGGTTCCCATCAACAGCGACAGCACCGGAGCGCTGACCGTGGCCAGGAATGCCATGCACTCTCAACGCACGAAGCACGTGACCCTGAGGTACTTTTTCATCCGGGAGCTAGTACTACGGGGACAAATCACTCTTCACCACCGGCCCAGCGAGCACCAGTTGGCTGATATCGCGACCAAGTACCTCCCAAAGCACCGATTCGCCTCCATCATTCAGCAGATTAAGGACTTCTCGTGTTGATCGAAGATCTGTGAAGCTCCCTTCCATACCAGAAGGAATTTATTTTCGATACGGTGCCAACGGAGGGGTCGAGGTAGACAAGGATATGGTGATGCCGTCGACCATTGTGAATTAGTTGCTTGATCGAGGGGTCGTGTCAGGAAAATCGTGCGTCGAGACCACCAGTAGTCGGACACGGTTTGACCTTTGAATACGATTGCAGCAACTAGTCTGCGTAGCAGTAGAAAAGTATCCATCTCTCCTTGGCATGTATTCTCTTGTTCTAGAAATATTCCGGAAGCATGCTAGGTCAAGGTTGACCGGGACATCTATGTAGAACGTGTGTAGCTTCTGGAAGCCTTCTGGAAACTTCTGGTTCCTCCTGTAGCCTCTGGAAGTCTTTCTGGAAACTTCTGGTTCCTTCTGAAAGCTTCTGGAAGCGTTTTACATCTAGGTTGCAGTTGATACTCTTCTAGAACGTAGGAGGGCTTCCAGAAATCATTCTGGAAGCATCGTGGATCTTTCGTGTGATTGGCTTATTTGTCCGGTATTCGAGAAGAGTGGTGCAGCCCTAAGCTCGTCCACTCCTCTCACTCCTCTTCAGTACCAGCAACATCTGACTCGGGAGTCAGCAACTAATAAAAGCATCTTCATATTTCCATTCCAAGCCTCTCGCGGTTGGAGACGCACAGAGTGTGAACCTCTGAGGTAGGCTACACAGCCTCCTGGCATCTGCAGCATCGTACTGCTGCTAGTGTACAGCGAAATATACGCTGACACTACAGTCTCGCCTGCCAAATTATCTCCGCTACAACTCTGTGCTCATGTTCTCTGCTGAGTACCATCTTTTCTTTCTGTATTATGTCTACGGAAGGCTAGTTGCCGCAGTCGCACCTATGGAAAACTGTGCCTGACTACGTTGTAACAGTTTTCCTCGACAAGCACCTGATTGCCCTTCTCATGCTTAGCCTTGGTTATCTTATCCTGCTCTCTTACCAGCTTGTACGCCTTCCTGTGCTTATTCCTCATCAAATTCAAATAATCCAATTGGTCTTGCTTTAGGTCCTGATTTCCCGAAACGCCCCTTCCCTCCAAGATCGTCATCGCAACCCCGGGTATTTTCCGATTTATTTGTACTACGTTTGGTGCTAACCCCGTCCCTCGGCTCACGTTATTGTTGTGTGCCGCTACCGCGTGTGTCAACATTTCATCCCTGTTTGCCTGATCGTCCGCAACCAAGTGCGAAAAAATCGACACAACGTATGATTTGACCGTTCAACCATTCCATCCGTCTGCGGATGATATGAGCTAGTCAACTTCTTCACCGTCTCCAGCATCTTATACACACCTTTCGCTACCTCATTCGCAAACTCTGCTCTTCTATCTGACAACATGGTGTGCGGACAACCCCACCTCGCGATACAATCGGTCACCATGATAGACACAAAACCCTTCGCATTCTTCTCCGCCTTCGTTAGTGGGTACCCCTCGGCATGTCTGCGGAGTAAATCTACCACCAGGAACACATACTCGTTGTATTTCGTCGTTTTCGGCAACGGACCCAAATAATCAAACGACACCATCTGTCCCGGTCTGCTCGGAAGAGGCAAGGACACTATCGGCCAACACTTTGTATGCCGCAGCACTTTCCGAAACTGACAAGAATAACACCTACGGATCCACCAACGTACGCTTTCTGCCATTCCTATCCACCAACACACCCTCTGTATATTACATAAAGTCACTTTCTCTCCCAAATGCACTGCTTGTTTGTGAGCGCATCCATAACCCACGGTCTCAACATGCTAGGCACACATTTCCGAACGGGCTCTTCACCTACCAACCTCTCAAATTGCCCTGGATTTCGATTTGGATTTTCCGCAGGGACCTTCGATTCTTTCCTCACCAACAAGTGCTTCGAATTCGGCAACACCTACAAAGTACCCTGTGCCACGAACCGCTTCAACTCATCAAAATCTACGTCTACATTTTTGGAATATCACCCTTCTCCATCCTCTATGGATCAGCATGCCCTTCAATGGCCGTAATTGCTAATCGCGCCGTATCGTCTTCCTCCTGAATGTCCGCTTAATCACTAGCCGTCTTATCATATAAATTCTCCCCAAATTCAATTGTCGCTTGCGTCTGTTCGTCATCATACTCTTCCAACGGAATTTGAGGCAACGGGGGTGATGCCGGACCTCTGTCCCGGGAACCCCTTCCCCTACCACCACTACCAGCCCCTCTTGCTCGAGCCGCACCACCTCGACCCCGTCCACGCGCAACAGCCCTGCTACTGCGAGCATTACTGCCACCCCCACCACCAGCAACAGCCCCACTCCCACGAGCGTTACAGCTACTACCACCACCACCACCAGAGGCACTGCCCCCTTCTTGAGAAATAGCATACACTCGCGGTTTTTCCATCAATCCTAACAAGCGTCTGCCAACTTCCGCTAAAGGAACAGCATGTAATATCAGCCCTGGCTCAAACTGACCACTGATTACTTCCCCTTCTTTCAGGCACAAACGCACCATCAGGCAAAGGGTTGGACACGCCATTTCCCCTTTGGATCAGCGCCCCCGTCTTGTCTCCCAGTTCATCCGTAGTGCGGCTTGCCAATGTACAGCCATTTCCCCCCACCACAAAATCATCGCGATGATTCGACCCAGCGAGCGCCTCTCGCTCGGTATACACCGGACCCAATCGCGAAGGTAGCACACCCCTCGCACCTATCATATAAATATCGAGATCAGACGGATCAATTTGCCTGAAATCTGGCGCCTCATCCTCTTTCGTCGCAGGCACTGGCAACCGTGATATCAAATCGGCATTTGCGTTCTCTCGCCCTGGTCGATACTTCAGTTCATACGTGTCCGCGGACAGGAAGTCATACCACCTCTGTACGCGATTGCTTTTCTCTGCCAATCTCCCCAAATTCCACAAGGGTTGATGGTCACTGTACACTTCGAAGGGGATGCCATAAAATAGTTGTTCGATTCTTCTCTATCGCTCACACTATCGCACCCGCTTCAAGCTCAGCCGGACTCCATCTCGTTTCATTCGGGAATGTTGATCTGCTCAATAAGCATAGCGGTCTAATACTTCCATCTCGTTGCTCTTGCTCGGTTACGGCTCCCAAACCCGAAATCGACGCGTAAGCGGTAGACCGAAACGGCCGCTCTCCCGAGATCACACCATCATAACACGGAAATGCCAACACTTCAGGACCAGACAGAATATCCATAATCTTCCTCAATACTGCCACATGATCAGCCGTGAACGCAAACTTCGCCCCCTTTTTCAGCATCGCATTGATCGGTTTCAATTTTGCCGACATGTTCTTCAGGAACTTATGATAGTACGACAAGTACCCCAACAACGATCGCAACTGGCTAACATTAGTGGGCATTTTTTTTATTTTTTGGCACTTCACGCAGCGGTCTGACCTTTTCCGGGTCCGGCCCGATCCCTTCCGCCCTGACTTGATGTCCCAGGAACGTCACCACCTTCACCCCCAGGTTCGTCTTGTTGGGTGCCAGTTTCAGGTTGAACTTGACCATGGGCTCGAAAAACCTCTCAAGGTCGCGCACGTGTTCTGCCCCGTCCCTGGAAAAAACGATCACGTCATCGATATACAGCCGCACACGTTCCAGTCCGTCACATACTCTGGGCATCACCGAATGGAACCACCCAGGATTACTACTGAGACCTTGCGGCACGGAAAAATATTCGTACAACCCCGTAGATTTGATAACAGCAGTGATCGGAATGCTGTCCTCCTCAGCAGCACCTAAAAATCCCTGCAGCACCGCATGCGTGCCCAAAAACTGAACTGCACGTCCGTCCCACCGGTCGACTACAGTAGCATCACCCCCTCCCTGTCTCACTCTATACCAAAACGGAAGATTGCCGACTACAGCATACTGCTGTCTGAAGTGCTGTCTGTACAAAAACACCATGGTAGGCATGGAACAAGNTCACGCCTCCTCGTTCGGGCTCAACTCCCGTCGTTTCGTTCCAAAATCAAGTCGAAGGCGACGAACATGCCACTTTGATCAGACACTGTGAAACAATCGGACACAAACGATGTTCGTACTCATCGACGCCAGCACTGTTGACTANGAAGCTGCTGTCTGAATTGCTGTCAGAATGTGTCTGCGGCCGTACAGTGAAAAAGAACAACCAACCAAAGCCATCATAGCAGCAATTGACAATCACCCGAATCTCTCCCGATCGTCTGTGTTAGGCACTGCAGTGAAAAATATCGACACTAGCTAAGAATCGTTCCCAGTTTCAATCAAAACTGGGTTCCCAGTTTCAATCAAAACTGAGTCCTGTGGGGTCGAACCACGTGCAAGCTATGATTTCGGCTCCGCCCTTGTCACGCCTCCTCGTTCGGGCTCAACTCCCGTCGTTTCGTTCCAAAATCAAGTCGAAGGCGACGAACATGCCACTTTGATCAGACACTGTGAAAAAATCGGACACAAACGATGTTCGTACTCATCGACGCCAGCACTGTTGACTACGAAACTAACGTACATCGCTGCCGGGTCATACAGAGCACCTGTAAACGAAATACGCTGTACGATACTCACCCAGGCGAAGCATGAGGGTGTTTCGTGCGTACTTAACGCCGATGAGGAGGTCTGCAATCCGTGACCATCATGCATCCCAGTCATGAGGATGCTACGTGCGAGGACGTGCGGCGGCGAGTTTGTAAAAAAACACGTTCGTACGTGCACAAAACGCAACATTGGTGGGCAGTGGAACCGAGTGGAACAAAAAAAAAAAAAGTATCAAAGGTCTCACAGCAAGGTGTATGTGTACATAGTCCACAACATGTCACAAACAGCAGCAGTAGGAAACACGCACGGTGAGCAGCGGAATCAGCGTCGTCATGAATCCTAGACGACCACCCAGAGGACGATATCGTCGTGGAACATCGGCTTACATCATGAGCACTCGTCAAGAGAGGACTCGGGAAAATAACCGGGTTCGGGAAATGCAGAGGAGGTGCGGTATCTTAGACGATTTCCCAGACAACGTCCTCATTGTCGTGTAATACTGAGTACTTACTGAGTACCACATGTAATCTGATGAGAAGCTGCACGAACAGGATCGCGTCGNCCAGTCATGAGGATGCTACGTGCGAGGACGTGCGGCGGCGAGTTTGTAAAAAAACACGTTCGTACGTGCACGAAACGCAACATTGGTGGGCAGTGGAACCGAGTGGAACAAAAAAAAAAAATTGTATCAAAGGTCTCACAGCAAATAGGCCTGTCCTCCATCGGCCGTTTTGCTTGTATGACGGAGAATAAGAAGGTGGAATTACTTGAAATTAGTATAGAAATAAAGTTTGTGTATCTAAATCGAAAATAAAACGGCCGATGGAGGACAGGCAGCAAGGTGTATGTGTATGTGTACATAGTCCACAACATGTAACATACAGCAGCAGTAGGACACACGCACGGTGAGCAGCGGAATCAGCGTCGTCATGAATCCTAGACGACCACCCAGAGGACGATATCGTCGTGGAACATCGGCTTACATCATGAGCACTCGTCAAGAGAGGACTCGGGAAAATAACCGGGTTCGGGAAATGCAGAGGAGGTGCGGTATCTTAGACGATTTCCCAGACAACGTCCTCATTGTCGTGTAATACTGAGTACTTACTGAGTACCACATGTAATCTGATGAGAAGCTGCACGAACAGGATCGCGTCGCAGGCGAGGTCGCTGCTGTTCTTTCCGCTCTAGTCTACATTGTACACCACGGAGGTTCCATCATGCATGACCACCACTTAACTTTAATTTTTTTATACTTTTTTTTCTGTCCTATGCGCCAGATGTTGATGTTTAGCAGATTGTATAAAATTATCCACTGGTGTGCAGTAGCATACTTACACAAGATTCGTAGACAATCATCAGCAATTATTGCAACAATGAAGAATGGACGTTTATTGTTCAGGTACAAACAACGACGAAGAGTGGACGATATGGTTATCGATGACGATTACGTCCACGGTGGTTCTAGCAGTGATGAAGTGGAGAGGATTACGTTCAACAGGGAGATCCCGACTGCGGCGATTTCAGACAACAGAAGGCCAAGAAACGTGCAGAGCGTAAATTTGATGACTCCTCTTCGCGCGGAAACTCTCCTGAAAGGGCTGCAGGACTTTCGTGACCACATGTTCGCGGGTAGCACTCGGTGAGTGTCAGTAAAGTAGTAAGACTGAACTACTGAGGCAATATAATGACTTGTCGGCCTCGACGAGGGTGGTCGGTTAGAACGTGACATAATCCCCAAGTTTAGATCGAGCTCAATACTGCTGTACATCATACTTTTTTTGCTCACAGGTCTCCCTGTGCCGTGTGCGATAGGCTGACTTTGGTACGACGTCATCACGTGATTTCAGCAAGCGAGATTCCTAACAAACAACTGTTAAGGGCGGATGAAGCCCTTCGCAAGCATGAGAGGGTGATGGCAACTTTTCGTGGTTATGCAGGCGACACGGAGCGAGAGTTAGGTACCCTTGTCCTAAGTAAGTTCGGAATCGAGTCAGAGGAACCGTACAAGATACATGTATGTATGCGACGGGTGTTACCGGTCGTTGGCGAGGAACATTTTACCTGATACTGCTTTGTTTGGCGAACGGGTTTTGGGTCGGTACCTTACCCGATGAGCTGCAGAAGGCAACGTTCGTCGAGCGAGCCGCTGCGTATCCAATTCGCACAAAGGGTCACGTTGTAGCATTGGAATCCAGGCGTGTTAACAACATTCCTGGAACGGCAAAGAGGTCAATGCGAGGAACATCTGTGTTTTACGCAAACAACTCGAGCTCCGTCGCGACGGAGTTACCTTTGGCGGCGACTGGTCTGCTGGATATGATCACGGTGGTGCTAGCGGGGAAAAAGAAACCGAAAACTTCGGATCTTGGTCGTCTATTGGGCGCTCGTAAATCAATGATCAGGGACATAATCGACTACATGCTCGATAAAGAAGAGAAACTTGTCGTCGGGTTTCCTCTGGGGAAATCTCTTCCTATCAGTGAAGAGAATCTCGATTCGTATAGCGAGAATGGCGCTATCCCAAAGGTGCTGTTGGATTCAATTCTGACATCGAACGATCCATTGAATGTGCACGCAAGGGTGTCTTCTACCTACACTCGAAGTAGCGACGAAATCGGGACTGAAAAAGTCACGGGGGTCGGTGCAATAATGCAGCGTTGGGCTTTTTCCCTCGCCGTCTCGTCCGTCTCCTACCCCCCTCCCGCTCCATTGGTTGTTGGCTTTTGGTTTCGTTTGAGCGCCCGTTGTCGACTGGCCTCTTCTTCCTTCTCGTGGCAGGAGGTCATGTACCTCTCAGCTCCCTGTAGCACCGCCGCGTGCCAGGGTACTCCTCCCTCCACCTTCGCGGCTTCCGTCCACTTTAACTTTGGTGCCGTGTCTTTCGGTACCGGGATTCCGAGGCAACATGGATCGGTTTTCGTAAATCCGTGGTCGGCCCCGAATGCCTTAAGGTCGTCGAGCACACAGTTCGGCCAGTTATGTTCCTGTCCCCCCCTACGTGGCTTCTCTCCCCCCGCCAGTTCGCCGAGCATCAGTCGTTTCGGGAGTCGCCCGTCCGGCTGCCTTGCCAATGCTCCCGCGAACAGTAGGCGTCGTTGTCGGATCGTGGCTTCAACGCTCTGGCATTCGACCCTCTTCAGCGTCTGGGCGTAAGAGAGCTGCCGGTAGGTGTCTTTCTTGCGCTTGTACCCGATAACTCGAAGGAGCAGTCGGTGGTGTATCGACCGCAGCGTCTGATAGTGACCGCTGAGTGGTGACCATGTCATGCAGCCGTACAGCAGTGCTTCCATCGCCTCCGCCTGGAGTAGGCGGATCTTGAGTCGGAATGGCGCTCTCGGTCTATCGAAGAGCTCCCGACCATATCGCCTGAGGCACGCCCACGCTCCTCTGCTNACCGGTGGTGTATCGTCCGCAGCGTCTGATAGTGACCGCTGAGTGGTGACCATGTCATGCAGCCGTACAGCAGTGC